AGTCATATTTTTTATTAATATGATAGTATTTAGGATTTCATGAACATTTTAACATATCAATCCAATATATATCTCTAACAAGTATATAGCCTTGCTGATATAATAATTTTCCAACAAGTATGTGTGATACTATATCTAATCATATCTATAATTGGGCTATCTTCTTATACATCTAATCATTTCTTACTAGATAATAACACCTCTATTCCCATAACAAATATATCTTAATTGTCTTGATTCATTTTTTATACTTAAAAACTTCATATCATCAGAAGTACCATCATTTCTCACCATCTCCCAAACTCGTTTTGCTAAAGATTCAGGTCTTTTCTTGTAATTCCTATAAACTTGCTGGATAACTATCACATAAAAATTTTCAAAGCTATAATTATAGTAGTATTTAGAAATCAAGATCCCTAAGATCGCTTCATAGTTTTTCCTAAAATACTTCACTAAAATAATTATACAATATATTGAAAGATCTAACTCAAAATAGGCAAATCAGATTTTTTATCCTACAGGTAGTATATTTCACAATTATACTAGGCTAGGCGATTATGCATGCAAATTATATAGAGTAAAAAACGGAATATAGTTGAGATATTATTTAGTCAAAAGTAATAATCTATATTGCTTAGAATCGGTCAGTCAAAACAGTTAAACAATCGTGATTTCTATTCTATCTCTCAATCTTAACATAGTGTCTTTTGGCTGATTAAGATAGTTTATAGATGGTAGGGTCCCAAAGGGACCTAGTAAGTTATTTTATTTTACATATAGAAATGAGATAAATAATCTGCTTATATTGCTTTTGCAATTTGAGGATTGATAAGAAGTTGGTGAAAACATTTCTTGCTTAACACAGGTATAGTATTTTTTGTTATAGTTGCGGTCTTAGCCTTGAAGCAAGAGCAATCCCAATGATTCTTCATCAAATCTTTAGACTCAACTTCATAGACCTATCTACGTCATCCATTATAATATACTTTTCTAGGCTTTACTTCAGTAATCTTTACCAATTTCTAGCATTTGAAACAGATAGCCATCTGACTTTTATGAACACTAGGTCTACGATATCCAAAGTAGTTTTCATATAACTCACTATTAACACAGTATGTTTTAGATTCTACTTGCCCGAATAAAGCATTTAAAAGGCTGTATATATGATATAAACTATATTCTCACTTAGAAAGTAATTCTTGCAGAGAACCTCTTATATGATTAGCCTATTGCTGAGGTGTTTCATGAGGTCTAATGATAGACAAATAATCATATTGTTTTTCTATTTCAACCACTTTTTTAAACTGTTCGTTTATATGACTGCGATAATAATTAGCAACATGTTTCATATCACAGTCATATCCAGGATGGAGGGATACAGCTTTATTATAAATATTATCTAAAATAATCTTAACTATTAATCTGAACATTTTTGATGATTATATGTGATTATGCGCAATAAATAAGACTTATAGTATTTTTTAGCAAATATTTATCGTTATAGCAGTTTGTAACAAGTATATTATAATAAAATATTAAATTCATTTTTATTCGATTACAAACATATCAGAAGGCTTATATAGGATTTTATATCTTAGCTATGCTAATTCTTTTTTTCTAAAAAAGGTAATCTGACAGATATACTATCTAGATATGCTATTATTAGGATATTGTCTCTTGCAGTCGATATATTAAGGAGAGAAGATCACATTATAAAAAATAATAGTAAGCTTTCTTCTGAAGGTCTATAACCGAAGAAGGCTGAAGGAGTCATATATATTCACATGCATCTAAATCAGTTTGTAGATCTCTCATGATTAATAGGATCAATCTTCCGATGTCATAATTTGGTTAAATTAGATTCGAGATAATATAACGGCTTAATTATTTTCAGATCCATTAATCAGAGATGTATGACGTATATCATATTACAGGAATCACCCTAGCTTTCTGACAGTTTCACGACACTCTTCAGGAACTAACATAGTACATAGGATCTTATCTTGCGAAATAGCCTCATTCCTCTATTCATTCTTAGTACGCATTCTCTAAAGTTCATTATTTAAGGCTAGAATCAATCTTTTTAGATCATCATTTTTGATCTACGCTTGTCTGATTGTTGCAAAAATAGGGCTACTATAAGAATAATATATATGCTTATATTTCCTGAAAAAAAATGATTTTGAGTATCTCCATATTTAAGAGACCTTAGGATATTATTTCATAGAATACGATCATGATTGTGAATAATAGGATCAAAATAATATCAGAATTTGAGAACATTTTTTTCGAAATAAATTATTAAAATTTTTGATTAAAAATCGGTTTGTTTCGATGATTGATTGAATTATACGTTTTGCAGAATTATAATATTACTTTTATTTGATTCTCTTACCAGACGCCTTACCTAGCATTTTTATAAATAAAATTTCTTCGCAGTTAATCGCAACGATCATCGCAAAATATGAAAGTCCCTGGATCTTCGCTAAAAATCATATTACCCAATAATTAGCCAATTCAGATTACCTTATATTAACATGCATTACTTTCAAACAATAAAAAATTAGTATGTAGATTCTAGAGGAATTATACCAATCACTTTCACATGAGAAAAAATAATTGTCTACATTTTACAGGTAACTAAGTACCCTAAACATTTTTTTTATTTGCAATACATTGAGTCTGAACCTAAGGGACCGCTAAAAATAAATTACATGATGCTAGATACATGACATCTATACTAATCTTTGCAGACTAAAATACATGTGAAGTGCCTTATGGCTAATTATTTTTGAAATACCCTTGAGCCCTCTATTTTTTCATCATTGGCTCCTTCTTAACATCTATTCTATCCCAACGATATTCTATAATCCATTTCATTTATGCCTTCATGATGCTAAAGAGATCCTCCAAACCTTGAAATGAAAAGATATTAGCCAGGTATTAATTTACAGCTCTGAAGACACTTCCTTCACAACTGAGCGAAATAAGTATTCCCACTTTAATTGCACAATGTCTTGTCCAGAGTTTTGTCTCCAGTATTTTTTATCACCAGCATTTCTTCATATTGCGATATGTTATGAGTATGCTGAGACCCTTCAGAAAAAATAATTTAACATTCAGTTTTTATTAGAAAAAATACGAATAAAGTGGCTTATATAGGAAAATCTTATATTACACAACCCCTATTCTTTCAGCAAGAATTTTTCTGATATTGTACTATGATGATATATGCTCTGCGCCTTTCGGCTAAGCCACTCACGTGATTCAAAAAAAAAAATATACGAATATTTAGAAAATGATTATTTGTCTACGAGTTTCAGGACCTTCATTTTCGACATCATTAAGCAAATCTACTACTCTTTTCATAGTTGATACTTGTTGCAATGTCGCAACTAATCCACTGCTTAACCATCCTTTTTTACCTCACCTATTTGAATGAAATCAGCTATGCGTTGGTCTATCTTATTTCTAAAATATTGCATCTTAGAAATGAGACCAGCTTGAATAAATATTTTACAAAATGCCTTCATACCAAAGAGCTTCTTCATTAAGGTGTGATATGCTTTTTCTCGTAGATCATTGCATCAGTTTTCAAGCTTCATCGAAGCATAAACAAAGTTATCAATCTAAGGCATATTTTTTTGATCATATTCTAGTACTTCATGAACTTCATCAACTACAAGACCTTGATGTACAAGTTTTTCTAGTTCTGTAGCTGATACTATAAGGCTTCTGGACTAGGTCTCCTCAGCTGATGCTGAATCAACAGAAGTTGCCAATGGTATAGATCACTTATGCCTTTTATTCTTTTTATGAACCATAATCTGTGTTATCTATAGTGGGAGAATTCAAAATTTCAAAGTATAGTGATAACGTACTTACTGTGCATGATATATAAATCCCTATGTGATTCAAAAAAAGAAATTAAGTATGTGATCCACCCGATGATTCTCTTAGCAGTTATTGGAAAGATAATAGGACTCATTATTGGTGAAACTTTCCTTTCATGTCTTCTGCCATTATAATAATAACCTTCATTATATTCATCATCATTGGAATTCTCCTCTTCAGAATCAATGTTGAGACTACCTTTGGTATCTCTTCATTCGTTACTTTTTCTGATTAAGGTATGGGGTCTAGTATTGTTAATCAGCACGAAAACTTGGCCTTGATTTTTCATTTACGGATCATAGACTCTGATCAGGCATGATAAAACCAAATCGATTAATAACACTAATGAGGTCATTATTAAAATACATCTTATTATCATAATCTCATCATAGTCGATATAGATCTCTGTCTTAGCTGAAACAATTTAAGATGTAGATGATGATTTTTCTTCAGGCATGGCAAGATTTTTTCAAAAATCTCAGTCACATATTTTAGATGGTAACGGTTTTCTAACTTTATGTTTAATATTTTATTAGTTAATCTAGAAATATCAGTATCACTCTTCTAACTTAATTCCATCAATTCAACTCAAAATTGGAACAAGAAAAAATATTATCTGGTTGCCTTTTTTTTGAGTCTAGTGAGAAAAAACGTCATGCAAACATTGCATCATAATTTGGCTATATAGTGTAATTGATGCAAAAGTATCATTCTTGTACCATCAAGTGTTATTTTCTTATATCATCTATATTTGTTTACATACAGAAAATATGTCATACAGGTATAAGAAGATAACTTTTGTGTAACTGATCTTGTGATATGCATAATAGCAATTATATCTTTCCTTATATGATGTATATATTACACAATATAGATGGTATGTTAAACGCGTATAACGGCATGAGACGTCATGCTAACTTAGAAATGACTGTCTAATAAAATCATACTGGACTTTGAAAAAAATCCATATTAATACAGTGCATACAACTCAATTCTAACCAAAAATTTTTTAAGCGGCTAAATTTGAGATGTCGATCATTTATCACGTGATAAAGAAATCTCGTAATTTTATTGATGCATATATATATCACGTGACAAAATGGTTTCATCATGATTAGAATTTATATTTGTACATTAAACATGTATAACAAATTAGCATTTATAATTAATAAAGACACTATCGGTATATTCTAAAATAGTTTGGTATTAATTAAGTTGTTATGGTATTATGTTAATATAAAATCCCAAAATCAAAATTATTTATCATATTAATATTGGCCCACATCACAAAAGGTGTATGATAAATATGACTGCATGTAGGATGCGATAAAGAGATTTCAGGATTTCAACTTTTGGGATTTGAACAGATTTTACAATATTAAATATATTAACTGATTGGTGGATATATGCGTAACTTAATTTTGTTTTTTTGACGTGACTATAATTTTTTACTTTATGTATTTTATGATTAGAAGAATTTTTTTTTCCTTGTAAAAATCAATATTAATTAAATAATAAAAAAGTTGACTTGCCTGTATAGTAATATCTAATATGTCATGTCCAACAAAACGTCAAAAACATCTAAAAAAAATTTGTAAAGCAAAAAAAGCTAAGCGCTAGTATATCAGAAGTAACATTGATATTGATAACGTATCTGATTTTAAAAGTTATCCTGATGTTAATGATATTTCTTTCCATGATGAGCTAAAAGGCTATGATAATATTGAAGATTCCAACAATGATAATATTTCTTTTTATGATAATAATTTTTCCATTCATGATAAGCCAATAGAAAATTATAATGCTATAAGCATTGTAAAAAAACTACAAAAAGCGACAAAAAAGTATCATTAGGAACATGCTTCTCAAGAAATACATAGATTACATTATATAGGAAACTCAAGCCACACTAAAAGAAGAAAGAATCAGCAATAGTGTGAAGCAGTAAAAGGGACCCTTAAGTTATATATCTTTTGGAATGTTAAGAAATCTACTGAAGAAATTAAAGAATTAGATAATGAGACTAATATAGATGTAGATAATAATGCTAATGAACAGTTAATATTAGATGATAATGTTTATAAACAGTTAGATAATGAGATTAAGAGTTATAATTGGTATAATAAAATTCCAGATGCTCTCGAAAGTCTAATGTTAGATATTAAAAAAGAAAAAACAAATAGTGAGGTTTAGATGCATTTAAATAGCATTCGTCTTTATTTTTAATTTGTGAAAAGTAACCATCCAAAAATGCAAGTGAGCAAGATTGTTGCTGATGCAGCAGAAAAAGAAATATACCATGCTAAATGCATTCATTATTGGACACATGAATATATAAAGAATCACAAAATTCCCTACTCCCATCGAGGACATCATGCTAAGATATGAAGTTTTCTTTGAGATGAAGATATTCTCCTTTAAGTGAAGTCATTTGTTCAGAAGCATAAATGGGAAATTACTTCACAAATATTAATAATACAAATGAATGAGAATATTTTACCAAGGCTCAGATTTGCACTATCTTCAATTATTTATATAAATACTGTAAGAAACTATTTAAAAGAACTTAGTTATATATATGCAAAGTAAAAAAAGGAATGTACATAGATGGGTATGAAAGAGAAGATGTGGTGGCTTATTGGAAAATATTTTTAGAACAAATAAGTGAACTTGAGCTTAGAATGCCTATTTTTTTAGGAGACAACTTAGAAGAAGTAATCTGACCAGATAATCCACTTATTCTTGTTACGCATGACAAATGCATTTTCTCAACTTATGATAGAATTCAGAGTCTTTGGATCCCTAATAAAGAATAACCCTTACGAAAAAAAGGTAATGGTCACTTGATTCATGTCAGTGACTTTTTGACTGATGTTTGTGACCGTCTTACACTTTCTGACAAAATACAGGTATCAGATAATTTTTCCAAAGAGGCCTGTATTATTATGAATTCAGGTAAAAATAATGATGGATGGTGGAAGGCTGAAGATTTGGTAAACCAAGTAGTCGAACGTGCTATTCCCATATTCGAAAAACGTTTTTCAGAATGTCAGGCTTTATTTGCATTTGATAATGCATCAAGCTATGTTGCTTTTTTACTAGATGCACTAACCAAACATATGAATCTTAGCCCTGGTGTAAAGCAACTGAAGATATGCAGTACGTATTTTAGTGAGGGAATTTAACAAGAAATGGTCTTTCCGTTAGATTATCATATTTCTAAACTGTGTGAACAGCCAAAAGGGTTAAAGCAAGTTCTAACAGAAAAGGGATTGTGGCTAAATGGAGGGTTGAAATTGGAAGAAGTACGAAAAATTATGAGTCAGCAGCTGGATTTTTTTAGCATAAAAGGGACAATTAGAAGAGGTTATTATTACAGCTAGATATCAAATCATATTTTATCCTAAATTTCATTATGAACTCAATTATATTAAGAACTTTTGGGATGCAACTAAGAAATTTAATCAGTCAAATTATGATTACTCGTAGACGGGATTACAAAAGACTTCTATTGGCTCTTGCTTCTATTTTACTTACAGCTATTTGTTGGTATACAATGAAGGCATTTTGCTATATAGATGTATATCGAAAAGGCTTAATGGATCAGGTAGTAGAATTTGCGATTAAAAAGTATCATTCACATCGTCAGGTTCCCGATTCAGTTTTACAAACAGTTATTATTTAGACAAAATACACTGGATTATTTATATTGGTTATGGATAAAAAGAAAAGCAAAAAATTAGTAATATGTAAATTTTACGCATATCAATAATAGCAATTAAAATACTTATCTTTTAAAAACTTTCATTTATTTTTTTTAATAAAGATAGCAAGGAACGTTAAATCTTTTTTTTAAAAGATTGTGGTTTTTGATCAGTGTTACAAAAATGAAAATCAACCAATAAAAAGTAAGAAAATTGATCATGTGAGTCACGTGAGGGGCAGTCAAAATTTCTGATTTAATAGTAAAATGACCTCACTTTTAAATTGCTACTGCTCTATCGAAAATAGTTTTATCAGAATTTTAAAAACATAGTTTTGTTAGGCTTGAATTACTCTATCATTTTATAATTATATTTTATATTTATCATGTTTTTTGAATGAGGAATAGTAATTTAAATTTTATCAAATTTATTGGTTAAGACTAAGTTGTATACACTGTACCTAAAAGGATTTTAATTTTCAAGTTACATTAAATAATATATCTTTCTATTTATTAAAAAAATTTTCTAGAGTAGTTTGTTTCATTAAACTTTTCTTTTTTTCTTTAATAAATTTTTCTAAAGTATTTATTGATTTAAAATATTCAATATTACCTTTTTGTTGAAGTAAAAATGCACGAATATTCTTCAAACTATTTGATACTGTACTTATACTAATAGATTCAATTTTAACACTATCATCATCATCATCTAAACTTTCATCAGTTGTTTTTTTAAATGTATTTACAAGTTCTGTGATAATATTATTATCATCTAAAATTTCATAGATAATATTTTCATCAGAGATATTTAAAAATTCTTCTACCTTCATACCATCAGAAAAATTAAGAGTTTCAAGTTCTTCAGAAAGTTCTTTGGTTGGTAAATCATTTTCTTGAATATTTTTTAAGTTTTTAATATTTTCTTTAATACTTTCATTAATAGAAAGAATTTTAGTATGATACTAGCAATTATGAATTTTTTTAGCTTTAACTTCATTAGGCTTGAATAGAATATTGAATTTCTTTTAAAATATCCATTTTTAAATTTTATACAGATTTACCAATTTCAATTTATTTTAACATCTATTGAATTTGATGACGATGATAATTATTTTTAAATGATATAATAATTCCAGCCAGCATCCATTGGTTGAAATTTTGATGTTGTATTTGGAAGTAAAAAAATAACATTAAGATATGAAAGAACTAATCCTTCTATTTTGTGATATGAACAATTATCAAGAAATAATAATACACGCTGATTATTATATTTTCTAGACATTTGTAAGTCAAAATTTTGAAGCTACTCTTGAAAGGTAGTCAATAACATCTAAGCTTTAGAATTATGTTGATAAATTATTGGCAGGTTTGAAATATTTATATTCTTAAAGCATCGTAGTTTTGTACATTTTCCAATTATCAAGGGTTTTAATTTATGTGATCCATCTGAATTTGCACACAATGCAATGGTATTATGTTTTTTATTTTTTTACATCTAGAAAGACATTTTGTAGCTAGGGTTTGATCTGATTCTAATCAGTAAAAGAGCCCAGTCTCATTCATATTATATATTCTTTCAAAAGAATAATTTGCACATTTTTCACATAATAATGGTAAATTTTCAATAATAGCAGCATTATTAGCAGAATCAGCTTGTCTATGAAGTTTCTCCTAATAAATTCTATTACGATCTTTAAATTTATGAAGCCAACTGGAAGAAAATTGCAATATGTCTTCTGAAATTCCTAATTCACTAGTAAGCAACTTAACCTTTTCAATTAGCATATTATCACTTAATATAGTTTGATGCTGATAACATAACACAAATTCTTTAAGTACTAGTTCAAGTTCTAGAACAGTAATAGACTGGTGTCTTTTTGCTTCTAAATTGATAATTTCACTGGTAAGTCATTTGTCACTACTTTGCAAATTTCTTGTAACAGTAGATTCATGAATTTTAACTTCCCATTTTTCTTCAATTCAATATACATACTGAGCTTGAATTCTTTTATTATCATAAGCATAAAGACAGAATTCATGTTTTTTGGCATCAGTAAGTGTAATTTTCTTTGGAGACATATTGCATAAATATAAGGTTCATTAATTAAGAATGCTGTGTATTTATATTTGTAAATGGGTAAATTTTTATAATATACAAAAGTTTAATATCTGCAAATATTAAGTGTTGCAAATTCTATGTACTACAAGTTCGCATGTCACAAGTTTTGTGTGTTACAAATTCTATATATCACAAGTTTTGTAATGATATATTTACTGCTAATATCAAAGAAAGTTTATTATAATAGGCCTTCTAGTATTATAATTTAATTCAATTTATTTATAACTTTTTTTATTTTATTTTAGATTGTTATATGTATAAATTTATAAAATTAATGAAACATTGATATTTTTTTATATATCAAAATAATTCTTTATTTACAATACTGTATGATAGTACTAAAGTTAATCATCCTAATTTTTCAGTATCTACATAAAGATAAGTAATAGTAATTAGTTAATTCTTTTTAAAAAATATTTAATATTAAAAATTCTTTTTTATAAGACTCATCTCTGAATGATCTAATGCTTGAGAACTCAGTAGCTATAAGAAGGTAAGTAATTTAATGTCAGTTTTTTTGATTAATTAAAAAAAAAACATTAAAATATTTTTTTTATAGCACTCACCTTCAAACAATCCAAATTTTGAAGAATCCAGTAGCTACAAGAAGGTAATTAATATAATGTTAGTTTTTTTGATTGATTAAAAAAAAAAATTAAAATATTTTTTTTCATAACACTCACCTTCGAACGATCCAATGCTTGAGAATCTGGTAGCTACAAGAAGGTAAGTAATTTAATGTTAGTTTTATTAATTGATTAAAAAAAAAATAAAAAAAAAACATTAAAATATTTTTTTTATAGCACTCAATCTCGAATGATCTAATGCTTGAAAATCTGGTAGCTATAAGAAGGTAAGTAATTTAATGTTAGATTTTTTGATTGATTAAAAAATAAAAAAAACATTAAAATATTTTTTTCATAGCACTCAACTTCAAACGATCCAATGCTTGAGAATCTGATAGCTACAAGAAGGTAAGTAATTTAATGTTAGATTTTTTGATTAATTAAAAAATAAAAATATTAAAATATTTTTTTATAGCACTCATTTTTAAATGATTCAATACTTAAGAATCTGGTAGCTACAAGAAGGTAAGTAATTAATTGTTAGTATAATTGATCGATTAAAAAAAATTAATATTAAATATAAAATATATTTTTTTTATAGACTTATCTCTGAACGATCCAAGCCTTAAAGAATCCAGCAGCTACAAGTAGGTAAGTGATTTAATTGTTAGTATAATTGATCGATTAAAATAAAATTAATATTAAAAATTACTTTTCATAGACTTACCTCTGAATGATTCATGTCTTGAAGAATCCAGTAACTACAAGTAGATAAGTGATTTAATTGTTTAATTGATTAATAAAA